AGAGAAGTCTTCATACGGAGGGTTTTGAGGTTTCTTTTTTTTCTTCCTTCCTTTCCTTGATTTAGGAGCAACTAAGGTAAGAGAAACTTGTAGATTGATTCCTTTGTGTTACATGTGTTTATTTTTGTGTTGTTTGACCCATTAGTGGCATTTATGTAGAGAATGGATGAATTTCATGTTGTTGGGTTTTGGGGCTTTTGAAGGTTAAAGATGAGTTGATGATTTTTGAGTTTTATAGTGGTTGCATGGGATGTTTTTGGGATATTTTGAGTTGTATAAGGTATGGAGAACAAGAATCATGAGTTGCATGCATTGTATTTGATGTAGTTAGTTAGATGTATTGAGAGAAGGTGATTTTCATGAAGGAACTTCACATTCTCGTTCAGCTAGAAGTGTATATATAGTTACTTAATGTTCATGCACAGATGAAGAACACCATTTCAGTCTTCATATTTTTTCTCAAGGGTAAGTTTTGGTAGCTCAATGAGGAGCCACGGAATGCTAAGCTCGCTTAGTGAGAAAATGAATAGTAGATGGTCAAATTAGGCTTTGTGATCTTTTCAATGGTTTTGGAATTACGCAAAAAGAAGGTATAGAACTTAAGTTGTGACCTTTTTAATGAGCAAAGGTTAAACTGACAACTTTAAGCTAAACTATTTTAGTTTTTTTTTATTTTCAGTATAGTATATATTTTAATTAAAATTAGAGGTCAACATAATAATTGTAGATAATTTTCTTAGCTTTCAAATAGATAAATATGAGCTCAATAGGATCGATATGACTCCCTTATGTGTTATTTTATGTGAAAGTCGTCATTGTATGGTAGTTGATTATGAGAACTTGAATGTTGCTTTATAAAATGAATAATAATTATAAGTTGTATAATATTAAATATGATAATTTAGTTAATGATATAATAAAGTTGATGAGGATATCCAAGATAATGTAATTTATGATATTGAAATGATGTTATTTAGTTTGATATAAAGTGAATAGGTGGTGATTTACAAGTTTCATGTTGAGATTGCAGAGTATAATGATTGGCTCTGAAGTGATAAGATAATTTTCTATGGGTGAAAATCCCATTCTCTCCTAATGCTTATTTATGAACTAATGAACACTTGCCCAAAATCATACTTTTGCTCAATTATATATGTGTCACCCAACAAGAGGATGATTATGTGGCTAAATTTTCCCGACAAGACATATTGCGCTTAGCGAGAAGACCCACAGATAGTGTGGATCGCTCAACAAACTCTCAACCGTCCATTGACAAGCTCTAAAGGAATTTAGACGCTCAATGAGTTAAAAGTCCACCTAGAGAAAAAGGTTATAAAGTGTTTTTTTCACTTAGCAAGAGTAGTGTTGCTCAATAAAAAGCTTTAAAGAGCTCAACTCGCCCATCGAGAATACTTTACCCAATGAGAGTCCTGTTTCATGATTTTTTTGCTTAAGGCTTTTACTTAACATGTTAGGGTGATAAGTTTATATATTATAAAGATATAATGTATTATATTGTATGATTGATGAATCATGTTGTAGAAAGCTTAAAATGAAGTATATTAAGTTGTTTAAGTTAAACTAGAAGTTATTCTACATGTTGTATAGGTTGTGTTGATAAGTTGAGATGTTGTGTTGAGTTGAACTCTATTGTTTTGTGAATGATGCATGTTTATAAGTTGTGTTTTTAATTTAAGATTAGAGGATAAAATGTTGTTTTCGATAGCTGAAATATTTCATTGTGTGGATATGTGCTGTAGTGCTATAAGAGCTTAATGTTGAAAAATCCTTTTTGAGAGAGTTAGTTCTTGAAGTGAAGTGTTGCATCTCTTATAAGCCATTAGTTGATACCATATAAGGGCAATGTCATCAGTTTAGAAGTGACCAAATTGAGTAAGGTATAAAGTCGAAGGTTAAAATTCTTAATTGATTGTCAAAAAAGGGCACAATATTTGGAGGATAGTTGGCTAGTTAATCCCATATAGGCTTAGTTGATGCATACTAATGTCGTGGTAGACTCACATCCAAGTTATTTTATTCCTAATAGTGGTATTAGACTTTCCTAGTCTATCTAACAAAATCTAAGAAATCAACGATGTGTTGAAAATGGATTAATACCCAAACATTGTGTTGTATGACCTAAATATGAAAGGTTTGACCTTAAGGTGATGGGTCTTGTTGTGTTGTGATTTGGCATAATCAAGCCACTTAATCTACTCACTTGTGTTGTAAGAGAACTTTTAGTTGAAATGTGTGACAACACATTAAGTTATTGTATTGCAAAGTTGTTAAAGTTGTATATATTGAATGTTAAGTTGTAAAGTTGTTGAATTATATATATGTTGTGAAGTTAATTTGATAAGTTGTTTATTGAGATGTAAAGTTATTGAGTTGTTAAGTTATATGTTGTGTTGCCAAGTTGTACATTTTGTTGTAAATTTGTAAAGTTGTTGAGTTGTATATTGTGTGACGAAGTTGTTGAGTTGTATATTGTGTTGTAAAGTTTATAAGTCATTTGGAGATGTAAAGATGTTGAATTGTACTTATGTTATAAAGTTAATCTAATGATTGATTACTTGTATTATTATGCGTTGTTGATTTTAGCACATGATTGTTGTGGTGTAGTTGAGATAAAGTTGATTATATAGTTAGTTGATTGCTTCTATATTATATGATGTTTTCTTTGTACACGAGATTACCTTTACTTTTCAATGTTCTTAAACTGTGATGATCATATTAATATGGGAGTATGTCGGGTTTGGGTTAGAAGGCAAGCGTGATATTGGGTCATGCAGAAGATGACATTGTTTTGGTGGAGGTTGTTCTGATATAGTTAGTTGTTGCTTTTTGGTCTTTTGGAACTTGTATATATACAAGACTTGTATTCCCATTGAGGGTCAACTTTATGTTTTCAATGTTTTAAGTTTCATACTTCTTTACATATATTGTTGCATGTATATCCAATAATTATTGCATGAGAATCATAGGTTAGATAATGTTTATGTTTTTGGTTGCTTAATTGTTATACTGTAGTAAGTGTAGTGACATGTCAAGTCGTTATAATAATGATAATATTAGAATTTGAACTTAAAACCATGTGCATACTACCTTAATCTCTCATCAATAAGTCGATACTAGTAATGTTGACTCTAACTACTACCCCTATTTCTATATATAATGTGAAAATACCTAATGCTCAAAGATTAAAAAATGTAAACCCCAAGCGTGTGGTTCAGCGGTAGGGATTGATCCATGCTTAAGTAAGGTCAGGGGTTCTAATTAAATCTTGGGGCCTCTGTCAAGGAGATTAGTCACTGCTATCGACCCTGGATACTTCAGGGACCAACAAAAAAAGAAGATTAAAAAATGTAGTTAATATAATTGATAATTTTTTTTCCTATTGTATAATTTTTTCAAAAATTACTCTTATACTATTTTTCTCTTCCAATTAATACTATTTTTTTTCTCTAAATAAAGCGTTAGTCCTATATTACTCCCCTTTCTAATTATTATTGTTGTTTTCTCCAACTAATTAAAGTATATATCTTTTAAAAAATATGTAATCAATATATTTTACTAAATTATAATAATATATTTTAATTTAAAAATAATTAATAGATAAAATAATATGAATTTAATATTTTAAGCTGTCTTATGAATATAAATGATGAATAAAGTGCACAGTTTTAATTGTTACTTTGAAATAATAAGGTTGTTATTAAATTATAAGACAATGGTAGTTATCTATTTTACATATACTTATGAAATGACATGTCATCCATTAACATTCAATTTTAATAAGGAAAACAAAAGAAAAACCCAATAAATAAATACGGGAAAAAAGTAGTAAATCATTTTATGAAAACCAACTGATGAGGACTAAAGTATATAAGGTAGATTCTGAAAAATAAACTTCATAAGTTCATAACTCTAGAATCTTAAAAAGAAGTTAGAGAGGTTCTTTAGAGCCAATGTAGTCCGATCCAATTCCGATTACTGACGCACAACCAAACACACGCTTAGATTAGAACATCTCATGATCATGAGTTCAGCGCCATAGAGTTGTCAACACAACCAGTTTTTCTATGATAATCCGTTGTCATTTCCCTCCACTATTTCTTACTACTGCAGCACAGCCAGCAAGTTCAAGATTGTCTTTAACTGTCTTAAAGCTTAAAATGAACTTTTTCTTTACAAATAGTATGCCGTCACCCAACCTTTAGACTTTAGTAGATTTTGTATGTATGAGTAGCTGCTTAATATATCATATTTTAGTTGCATTTGTAAATTAAGAAGGCTCTGTAGTTACTTTTGACCAAACAATATTCCACATAGCAACGTAGATTCGGAGGAGTTCAAGCACAAGTCATGTGAAAGTTGGTTCATTTGAATTTTGAATTCATTTAGCAGAGAAGATTGTGGGATGAAACACAAGGGTTTGGGGTTGCAACTTGCAATTTCTAAGAAAGTAGCTTATGACTTCAACGGCCAGCCTAAGCCTACTCAAACCTTTTGGGCCTCTCACATACGAAATTAATTGCACACAAGCTCTGTAGCCCGGGCTGATTTAAAATTAGAAAATGGTAATAGCAAATAAAGCAGTCATGCTGCAGAGAATCTCCACCATGCCGGTCTTTATTTATAAGAAAGATACGGTAACCTTTCTATCTGTATTCTGCATACTATATGATGGCTAATGGGGTCGATGAGTCTATGACACTGCTATGGTATTATTGAATATGAGAATCCAAGGTGGAACGATACTGGTGCATGGGGACCTGGTTTTACTCTGCCTTAAACTTTAATTTATATATTAAATGTTACCTTTGTGTTGGAGCCTTACATGACTCACGGTGTGACTTTTGAATTTGGTTTTTTATCCTCGGTTGTTGCAATCACTAGTACATAAAACTCATTATTTCATTTTAAGTAACATACCAAGTCCACTACTTCATTATAGAGGGCAAGAAATGGATAAACATGTAACTATTTTCATTTGTTCGTACTACTTGAAGACAAACATGAGAAAAATAATTCGCATGGGAAATAAAACAACTTTACAAGAGGGAAACGTGAGTATACAAAAATGAACTCAACTCTCCAATAACTAATCAAAGTTGAAATCCCCATGAAAACAATAGTTTCTTTAACTGAAACACTTCAAGTTAAAACTCAATAATCACAAGTGAAATCATGAATGTGCAAAAGAACAATGAACCAATCCAATTCCAAAACTTCATACTCTAGCTAGTTTCCACGCCAAGCATAGAGCAACAAAGAGAAGCCACCATTACTACTCCCAGAAGACCCGGTTGATGAAGAGCACGAGCTCCTCCCTCCATCGCTGCTCTCCTCCGCCCACTGCAACACATCGGAGCACAACGGCGACGTCGTCAACATCGACGGCGACACAGTGGGTCCCACCATCCTCTTCTTCATCAACTTCTTCTCCGGCCCCACCATCTCAGGCCACAAGGTGCCACCATCTCCAACGTGAAACACAAAAACACCATAACCATTGCCAATGCCATCATAGTCTTCTTCACCATTAACCACCCAACTCGACACGTCCCAAAAGAACTCAACTTCAACGCCATCAACAAATATTTTCTCGTTACCTCTGAATTTCCACGCAAGCCTTTTCACCACCAAGCAAACTTCACCATCCACCTTCACTCTCAGCACTTCTCCATCGCATAGCTCAATCTCTATCTCTCGTTTGGACCCCATAAACTCCCCCCTCGACACGTAGCACGTGCTGCCAAACACGTGCTCTCTTCTCGACACGAGAATTTGGTCACCAAGTTGGTGAGTTGAATTTGAAAGCTGCATGGGAAGAGCAAGATCACCCAGAAAGAATTCAACTCTTCCATCTAAGCAGATTGCGAGGTAGAAGCATGAGTCTGGCTCGGCCGAGTTGTTTTGAGCGGTGAAAAGTGTTTTGGAGAAGTCCCAGTAAAGTTTGAGTTTTTGAGAACGTTTGTGGGGCCGAGAGAGGTATACTGATTTGGAACCTGACCTTGTTCGGAAGAAGGAGAAGGTTGACGGGTTTAAGGTTATGGCGATGGAGAAAATATGAGGGGCGTGAACCGTTAAGGTGTGAGAGAGAAGGGTTCTGGACCAGGTGAGGGTGAGGTAGGTGGTGGTGTTGCAAAGTTGAGTTTGGTAAACGCATGTTACTAGATTTTGGGGCACTTGAATGCTGCTGCTTCTTGAACAACGTGGTGTGTTGGGTTGGCTGAAACAAGCTGGGATCATGTTGTTTTGTTCTTTCTTGGACCTCTTGTGTGTGTGTGTGTGTTTCTCAAACCATATACTATGGTTAATGTTTGTTTGTTATAATGTTATTGCGTTTGGGATGTTTAAGGTTGTAATGAAGTTGCTTTGAGATGCTGGGAAAAGTGTGGAATTAATGATGTTAAAAAAGAAAAGGAGGAGGCTTTATGTGTTAGGGTTTGGCATTGAGTTTGTTGGATTCCTTGATTTGCGGCTTTTGACGAGGGTTCAAACCGCTCCTATTTCCTATATATGGAAGATGGTGAGCTGGGTTGCACTGGAGTCTCCAACTTTCCAAGTCATTCCAATTGACCAATGAATTAACAAGAAAATATGCCATGCCATGAACCCTTTTTTACTTTTTTAGAAAATCAGTGTATCTTGTCAGTTCCATTCAAATGAAATGTCATAATTTCTATCTATAATGTCTGAACTTTGAATTCCAGATATAAAATGGTCGTGTCATATGTTTTCGCACCCAGGTGAAGGTGCGAGAAGGGGAACACGCTTTTCACATTATCCGGTTTTTTCAATACTAAATTATACTTTTTAATATAGTGCACAAAATTTGGTAAACTACTTTCAAAATTACAAATTAAATATTACAGAGGACTTAAAAATGTATTTTATTTCTTTTATTAAAATTTTGTTAACTGTGATTTTATTTGCATTAGACGTCTGGCAAATATTTTAGCTTTAGTTCAACAATTTTTACTCATTATTTGAAAGAAGAAGAGGAGAATTGGAAATTTAAGTGTGACGTTTTATAAGGAGATATTTTTTCATATCTAGAAATCATAATTTTTAAAAATTATAAATTATGGAAATTGTTAAAATATATTTAGTTACTCATAAAAATTTATGAAAATATTTAATTATTTATATAGAATTTTTAGAAATTAAAAATTTTCATGTTTGATTTCATTATTATATATCTAGAAATATAAATATTTTTTATTTAAATAAAATTATCATATATGTTTATTTACTCAAATTTTATTATAAATATGATATTAAATTATTATTAAAAAGAAAATAATTATAATTAAAATTATTTAAATATATAATTCAACAAATATATTACATAATAATTAAGAAGAATAAAAATATTTTTTATTTTATTTAAATTAATTAATTAATTAAATTTTTTTAACAAATATTATTAAACTATAGAAACAAAATAAAATTTAATAATATTATTAAAATTGATAAAGTCAAAAAATTATAAAATATAAGAAAAAGAGAGATAAAGATATGGAAGGGAGAGAGAGACGGTGAGGGAAAGGAGAGAGAGATAGAAGGAGAATGAGAGAGAAATACTACTAGAATTTCTATTATTACACGCGACTTTTCCTGCAAATTTTTCACGTCGTTCCTGCAAATTTTCTTGCGAAATTTTATCTGTAAGTAATACCTTCGTGGATAACATTTTTTTTGCGAATTTTAAAATTCGCAGGAAATTTTCCTGATAAATTTTTTGTGAAAAAAATTTGCAGGAAAGTTTCATGCAAAAAAAAAATTCTCAGGAAAGTTTCCTGCGAATTTTTTCGCAAGAAATTTTGTAAGAATATTTTTTAGGAAAAAATTAAAGAAATTACTATAAATTCTATCAATAATTTTTCAACTTTCAAATGCTCACAATGAATTCATCCGAAGCATTTGTTTCCATGCCTCCAACATGTGATACATAATCTTTTAAATTCTAAGATTGTAGATTATAAGTCTAATACTCAACCATATAAATCAACTTATAAGGTAAGTGTTGCCCCAACTTATATACTTTTTAATTGCTTTATTTTCAATCGATTTGGGACTTGAATTTTTTTAAAATATTAACTTATAAATTTAAATATATTTTTTTATTTTTCCTGTGGATTAAAATTTGCAGGAAAATCCGCAGGAAAAGTTACTTGCAAAATTTTTCTACAATTTAGTAAACATTACTTGCGAATTTATTTTTGCAAGAAAATATGCAAGAAACAAAATAAAATTCTTACAATATTTTCTGCAAATTTTTACCATGGAAAAAAATTTCTATGATTATTAAAATTGTAGCAAAATTTGTAAGAAATATCTTTAAATTATTTTTCGCAAATAAATTCGCAAAAAATTTCTGTGAATATTTTTTTGCAGGAAAATTCAAAAAAAATTTCTGTAAATATTTTTTTGCAAGAAAATTCACAAAAAATTTCTGCGAGTATTTTTTTTTGCAAGAAAATTTGCAAGAAAATGACACTTTTTTAGTAGTGAGAGAGAGGGAGAGGAGAGAGGGATAGAAGGAGAATGAGAGAGTGAGAGAGAGGGAGAGGAGAGAGGGATAGAAGGAGAATGAGAGAGAGAGAGAGGGAGAGGTAGAGGGGGAAGAGGGCAAGTGAAAGAGGGAGAGAGGGAAATAGAAGGGAAGAGAGAGAGAGAAAAAAAAAAGAGAGAGAGGGGGAGTAAGAGTGCGAGAGAGATAGAGAGATTTTCTATTTTTTTAAAATGATAATATAATCTTTTAATATATATTAAATTTTCTCTCTAGAAAGTTAGCTTCTCACCTCCTTGCGAGTATTCTTATATAAAAGTGAGGTAAAAATTATTTATGTAAAATTATATTTTTGAATTTTTTTTAAAATAGTTATAAAACATAGAAACTTAAGATTCTCACCTTAAAATTTTTTACTAATATAAAAAAAATTATGTACCAAACGTCTCCTAAATGTATTGATTTATGATAAAAATATATATATATATATATATATATATATTTCTTTGACTTCTAAATTATATATCAAAATATTTTGGATCCTTTTATGAAGTATTCGTTGGATATTGACTAGAATTTCAAATATGCCCGGCATGTTAAACAACATTTAATTTAAAATAATAAGATACTTTTTTCCAGCAAAAATAATAAGGTAGTTAAAGTTAACCCCGAAATTATTTATAAATTGAAATGAATTTTAAAATAAATAATTTATGCTGACAAGCACTAAACACGAGTCACCTACAAATTTAAGTAAGATGCCAGCATGCGGAGTGAAGCATACATATTAAAGTCTGTATATAACATTTTTTTTAAAAGAAATCATGATATTATATATATGTGTGTAACATTAATATATTCATTCTGGTTTGCTCATGTAACACGTTAATTCATACAATATACAACTTTTTAAATATGAAACATCCTATTATTCATAAATATCTGAAAAATACAATTTATCTAAATTTTTTCAACACATTGGCAAGCAAAAATATTATTCTAATTTTAAAATTGTACCGCGGATTAACGTCCCAAAATACTCACCACCTTTCATTAAAGAGTTTTTATAATAGCCAAGTTACCCTTTTCCACCTACTATCTCTCTACCGCACTTCTAAGTTCAAATAATACGATCGACACAAAATCAAAAGGCATTGTTTAATTTTCTTTTATAAAACCTTTTATAAGTATTTTTATAATTTATCTATTAAAGATGTTCTTTATGCAGTTTCAACTTGTATATATCTTAGCAAAATTTATATCTTAAAAAGATTTTACGTCAGGAACAATTAATTTAAGCACATGAATAACTAGATCTACAATTGTTAATTATAATATCCTCAGAAAAACCAAAAACTGAAGTTGGCAAGACCCAGATGAAGTAAAAGAAAAGGAGCTTATAATTGTATCGATGGGCACAGCTAGCAAAGGAAATTAAACAAAACGTAGAAAGAATAATTAACAAAAGATTAAGAATCTAAGTTAAAGAACCGTATAAAAAGAGCATAAGAAGATGCAAGGAATTGATTTCAGGAGGAGGGTGGTGTTGCCAATTCATGTTGCACAGCCTTCAAAAGCAAGCTATTTTTGCCAAGAGCGACGATGATGGGAGAGCCACCAATGCCACGAGCGACGGCATGCATGATCTCCGTCATCAAGGACTTGAACTCCGTCGGATCCAGTGCACCGTTTCCGTCTTCATCGAACCGCTTCAATATCTCTTCCTCCATCTGCGGCGGCGTTTCGGAGCCAAAGGGCAGAAGCATGCCGAACCTGCCGCGGATTTCGTCGCACGAAAGCTTGCCATCGCCGTTCTCGTCAATCATGGCAAACCACTCCTTCACGAAGCTATCGAACTTGGCCTTGTCGTTTACGAACTCTGTGACGGTGAAGCTGTTCACTACGGCTATGCTCATATCGGAATAGCAAACAATGAGAGGGTGGTGAGAGTTGTGTTATTGTGTTCTCCTCGTTTTTATTTTTTATTTATTATTATTTATTTATAAAGTAATATATGGTTGCCCTAACTTCACGTTTCCAATGGTTGATTAGCCTTTATTGTAGAGCCCTAGACCACAGCCATGTGGGCTTTATTATTGTTTTTCTTAATGGTTTTGCTTTCCTTCACATGATGCGATGTTGGAGAAGGAAATGGAATATGCCGTTGGGGTGGGTGAAAATTGAAAATATCACTACCTGCACTTTCTTAAATAACACGTGGGTGATCATTAGGTACTACCTGTAATTCTGCTAAGGAAATATTTAAGAGGCTGAAGAAAAACTAACATATTAAATGTGTTCTGGCTTTCATATTTAAGATGCCTGTCTAACATCTCTCAAATCAACCGAGATATATATTTATAATATTAATTTCTCTAAAATCTTCCTATGTACAATAATAACAAAATATTAACCTAAAATCCAAGAATTTTAGATAACGACAATAAAGACCTTACACCAAACGTTTCCTTAAAGCTTATCTTTATCTTTTTTTTTTTTATTTTTATGCTTTTTAGATATTAACATAGATTTTCTCACTTTTAATTAGTGTTCATCTTTCTTTTTGTTAATTACACATATCATTAATTGTATTAATCATTTATTTCCTTTTCTTTTTTTCCATCTCTTAAGGAGGGGTAGCCAGCACTTGGGTGTCAATTTTCTTTTCTTCCCTTATAGAATAGCCGCAAACACCCAAAAGTTTGATACACAAATTATGAGATAGATCACAATCAACACGCATTTTTTTTATTCTGTTTGTTCATGTTCAGGGAATCAGGGCAAAGCTTTAATCCTTTAAACATTTCTGCATTAGGGATTGAGAGAGGGCAAAGGAAACAATCATGAATTTATGAAGCCAACTTTGGAAATATATTTTTCAGAACATATCATGCCAAAATCAATAAAATAAGGCAAGTATAGAAACTTGAATATATTTAAGCAACATTAACCGAGACAAGTAGTAGGAAACTATGTATAGGATGTTAAAATGGGTCATGATTTGTGAGATAATCTGTCAAGGATTGATAGGTTAGATATTAGAGATCCTGATTTACTAATTCATCTAACTTGTTGACTTACCAAAAAATTAATGGATCTGATTAGATATTTTAACCTATTATGTCTAACTTGTTAATTTGTCAGATAGGTTAGGACGAATTGACTTATTGACCTACTTAATTTATTATTATTATTATTATTATTAATGTTAAATTTAAATTAGTTATGTGAGTATTTTGTAATTTATTATGCAAGAAATATATTATGCATTTGATTTATTTTATTATGTGTAAATTTGAGATTTTTTACAACAAATTTGTTGAAAAAGTTATTATTATTATTATAATTATATTTTTTTTATTGTGTAACAAAATTGAAATTTATTGTGTAGCAAACCAAATCAATTGTGATTTAAGATTTATTATTTCAAACATTGACTGTACATGATATTTTTGAGTAATTTTTTATAGTAAAATATTTTTCTATGTATTTTTTCTTGCAATACAAAAAATAAAGGTAGATTTAGAAAAAATAGAACTTGAACTTATGTGAATGTAATTATTTAAAATCTTAACGACTACTAAATCAACATGCTTTGTTGTCATATAATTGACTTAAATAATTTATAAAATATATTTTTAATTAAAATTATATATTTAATTATATTATATATATTGACTTATGTTGTTAACTAATTTATAATTTTGTTGTTATGTCATTATTATACTAATTACAATATTTTTGAGGATTTCTTTAAGATATATATGGTATGAATTTTATTAAAATTTATAGGTGTAAAATATATATCATGTGAATAAATAATGAAAATAAAATAAGATTTATGAAAAGAAGTTTATTTATCTTAACAAAATTGGAAAGCACAATAAATTATGTATTTTCATATTATCTAATAATGTAATAAAATATTAAGCATGGTAAAAGAGAAATAAATTTCTCAAGAGAAAAATAAATAAATTTTCTAGATAAATTATTATTTAAATTAGTCTATTTTTTAAAAAAAGATTCAATTAAAAAAGATTCTATTTTATAGCATTATGTTTCTCATTTTTTAATACATTATGATATATTCATTATCTATTTTAAATTAAATAATTTGTATTATTTTAAAAACAATTAATTTTATTGGGAAGGTATTGATTTTTATTTCTTATCATTAATATTTTTATCATTATAAAAATAATATTGTATATTTTTATATTTTCTTTCATTTAAAAGAAATATATTTCTAAATTTTTTAAAAATTTTACATTTAGTGACTGATTTTAATTTGGTCGCTAAAATTGTAAATATTTGGGTCTGTCAGACAACCGTGTGACCATCTCGGCCACCACTGGACCAAGAACGATCCTCTACAGTCGCAGATGAAGCTCCCCCTAGAGGAACACATCAGACAGTTAATCACGCTCTGATCACACGGTCGTGGCTCATCAACCAGACGTAGGTTCCTGTCTCCTTAGATCTCAAGGATACAGAGGTACGACCCACATCGGTTAGGAAGGAGAGCGAAGCATGCCATATATATGGGTGTGGACACCTTCCTTGTGTAGACGCGTTTTGGGGTGGCATGCGTGCCATCGCCAGAAACAAATCCGTGAGGGCCGTGGGCCAAAGCGGACAATATCTACATGCGGGTTGCTTGGGCTGTTGTTAACTAATTTATAATTTTGTTGTTATGTCATTATTATACTAATTACAATATTTTTGAGGATTTCTTTAAGATATATATGGTATGAATTTTATTAAAATTTATAGGTGTAAAATATATATCATGTGAATAATTTTTTAAAAATTTAATAAAGATCAAGTCAAATTTAATGTTGACTTATCGGTTCGACTTCAAACTCACTGATCCAGTATTCTAACCAGTTTGATGACTGATTCAATTTTTAAAACACAATATAAAATATACTATGTTGATAGAATAATACTCACTTCATGCACACTCACATTTTTCAATGAAAATTAATCAATACTTACTTCAAAAATACTTAGTTATAAAAGAAAGATGTATATTTACAAGGTTAAAATATTTTTTTAATCATCATAATTTCATTTACTTTACATTTTAGTCATCATAGTTTGAAATATATTTTTTTAATCCCTATACTTATATTTTTCAATCCTTTTTTATCCTTATAATTTAAGATGAATGTTTTTAGTTCTTATACTTGTAATTTTTTTAATTATTTTAGTCATGTTAATTTTTTTTTATAACGTTGTCTCTTTCATGTTGATGTGAAAATTATTAATTCAACTTTATATATCTGATGTTGAATTTATTTTGCTAAAATTATTTTGAATTAGATCTCTCAACGCTTTATAATTGTTTTATATCTTTATTTGTGATGCTTATTGTTAAGATACTTTTGTTTTATCCTCGCAAAATTTAAAACCTCTACTATTTCAATACAAAACAGATAATGTTACAAAAATAATAACAAAAAAAATTAAAATAATTAAAAAATTATAAGTATAAAAATTTAAAAAAAAAAGTATCTTAAACTATAAGGAATAAAAAAAAAGTTATAAGAAAATTATAAAAACTATAAAAATCTATTTAAGCTACATAAACTAAAAAAATAAAATAAATAAAATTATAAAAATAAAAAGTATTTTAACCTATTCATAGTTACACCATGATAATGCTCTAATGTAACATAATTGAATATTGTAGTAGTATAGGAACTGAATGGGCTCTAATGTAATTAAACCAATCCTCCAATCTGACTGGAGCAGGGACAAGGGGTTAATTAGTTTGAATTAGTTTAGCAGCTTGAAAGCGCTTAAAATAACAACATAAATATTGGGAAAATCAATGACAATTTTTTTTATAAGATTAAGGATTCAATTAAACTTTTTTAATTTGAAAACTTAATTAAAAATTCAAATAATATATATACCCACCAACTAATTCATTTAACCTAACAAAATTGTACCGTGACCATGTGACCATCAGTGCTGTTGCTTTTGTCCTGAACAGAAGTAGAACTGAAAATAAAATACTGAAATCATGCACAGATGAGATTAACCCATCACCTATCTATCAGTCAATACTGAACAATATCAACAGCAGATTGAATAATGTGGCAGTTATTCACTCACTACATTACTACAGCATTTTAATGAGAATCACGAAACAGTAGTGAATGCTAATAGGCAGATTCACACAGAATTTAGACTTTCAGGTAAGAGGCAAACAGTGACACACACAATCACTCCTTAGACAATGTATGTCAGTGTGTCTGCTCTGCATAAATAAAACAACTCGAGTATGTATGTTGGGTGGTCCATTCATGTCAGCTATATACCTACTACCTACCCTACACTTGTGTTGACCACAACGCTAAAATTCAGCCGTTAGGCTTGCATGTTTGAATTTGGTTGAATCTGCAAAACAAAATCCTTATTTCAAAGAAAAAAAAAATACTGTAATTTTTTTAACTATAATAGAGGAAGTTTACAACAGTATGACAATTTGTTTGAACTTAAAAAATAATTTATTAAGAAACAGATAACATATATTTCTTAAAAAAGATAGAAAATTGTTTATTTTTAAAATAAGTAGTTTAGACAAACACACTAAAAAAACAAAAAGTTGCTTATTTTTATTAAAAAATGTTTTTAAGAAAATAATTAAAATAAACAGAGCTTGTATATATATAGATGAAAACAAGTAAGGGTATTAGTCCATGTGCTTAGGCAGATTTGGGCCAAACCTGGTTACCAGTAAGGCAGTAATGTCAATCTTTATAATGATGGGAGATCATTTTGGGCTCAAGTGGTCCATGGCAACAAAAACGAGGAATGATTTTCACGTCTTTCTTTTTAATTTCAACACATTTTTCCAACCCTAACAAATCTTTTGTGCTTTCACTAACAAATCTGCAACCCTTTATGCTTGTCAATTTCTCTTCTTTGCTTTTCATAAGTTTATTTACGAAAAAAAAATAATAATTACTATTTCTGTGTGCATTCTCTACACACATTTTATCAACATTTATTATTTTTTATTATAATATTTTTAAAATAGATATATAAAAACTTATACTTAATATTTAATATTATTATTGCAATATTTTTTTTAACTATCAAACATAATAGCATGAGTAAAAATAATATAATATCACATTACCAACAGATCGTTAATTTGAACATATTTATTTGATTTTCTTAAATAAAGTCTCGAATTGGATATTCTTTGTTAATAACACGATGATAAAAAAAGTACGAGCGTACATGCATCGTTATTGTAGGAAAAATGATGTTACAAGTTACAACCTTGGGTAAAAAGTAAAAACCAAATTGTATAGTTAAAATTGATATAACCTGTGACTTTTACCCGTGTCATATTTAGTCTCAATAATAGTCTATTTTATGATTATTTGTCCCTTGATTGAAAATAAGCAAGACAGAATGGAAAAGGAAGAAACCCAATCGCTCTCATTGTAGATTATGTCACTCATGAATCATGATAATGAAGGATATATCATATTATATATACATATATCAATGTAATATTCATATGGCGACAAATCCAGGTTGTCATGTACTAATTTATTCCATTTTGACTTTAGTTTCCTTTTACAATGAGGTAATGCAGATAAGTTTATGTGATCGCTACTTTTGTGGCCATGGCATCATAAATGGAATGACAAGATTTTGCTAACCATAAGAGTAAGAAGGAGACAACAAGAACAGTGTTTGGACTTTGGAACAGAATTACTCAGTCACAAGCTCTCGCACCGTAATAAGGAAACAAAATATCACAGGGGAGTTACGTGGAAATTTCAATAATTAGATGACACAAAATATACACTACAAAGTGAGGTCAATATATGTCATTATTTGCGGAATATATAAGAGTATATATCTGGCCACGACAAAGAGTCACTTACACGTAACGCATATTGGATGCTTTACACCATGACAAAGCCACTACTTTATTTCCTTTTCCTTTTTATATAAGGGGTTGCTATTGTACCCCCAATAAATGAGGGGATTTAAGTACTGTATCTGATGTGTATGTACATATAATTTAAATGTTATGTCAACCTTTTAAATAAGAATTATTTTGTATTTAAATTTTTATATTATTTATTTTTAAGTTTTTATTAATATTTTTATAATTATACAGTAACCCTTGTTTCACCTGATCTCTCCTCTTCCCTCTGTCTCCCTCCGCCCCTTCCTCCTCTCCTCCGCCCCTCCCTCTTCTCCTCCGCCCCTCCCTCTTCTCCCTCCTCTCCCGCCTTGTTGACCTCTCTACCGTTGACGCTGCCACCCACTCCCCACCACTAATGCCTGCAGATTGCGCAAGGGAAAGGCCTGTGCAAGGCCTGAAGATGAGGAGACTGAAACCGCCGACATCCATCGCACGGGTTTGCTTGGAGAGAGACTCAATCGTGCACTAATACGACCACTCTCGTTAGAGCCACCATCTCGAGAAGCTGATACATGATCTCCACCTGTTGTGTCCTCCACGACTCGCCGGCAATCGCGGTCTCCGCCTTCGCCGTCTCGCTCGCCGGCCCGCAGAGAGGGAAGAAACAGGAAGCCAGAAAGATTCCGGAAAAAAAAGAAGAAAAAAAGTGGACTTCATATTAATCATTTATCTGACGTGGATGTGAATTTTAAATAATTAAAAAATTATAAATAACTTGAATTTACACGTAAGTGACACATTATCAAGAGTACCGGTACCCTTCTTTTATAGAGGGTACCGTAGAAATTCTCTTTTATATTTTGTCTTATAAACAAATCCTGCATTCATCAACTAATATACTACTTTCACTCTTTATATGAGAAATAATTTATAATATACCTTTTATAAAAAAAATTGTGTAAAATATCCTGTCATTTATTTCTTGTAAAAAATAGAGAAATGGGACAGCATCTGATAAAAACTTTAATTGATGTAATAGTAATTTTGAAATAAGATTGTTTAATAAAATATTGTTGAATGATGTAAGAATACGTATAATTCAATTGAGTTTTCCTCTTTATAAAATAAATATGAATAAAAGGTAAAAATAATATTATTCGTTATCACATAGGATGTTGATTATTTAGCTTTCAAAGAATGTAACTAATTTTTTTGGTTCCATAATGACCTTTTCCGTAATGATAGGAGCATACTTATGAAATGATGTGTCCCACAAAGAAGTGTGAGGAGGTATTGGTCTTTTTGGTGATCCCAATAAGATATGGAGATGGGAGGATGAGGAATTGTTATCCCTCGTCATAGTTGTTGAGTTACGGATTACGTAAAACAATAGGGGAAAATCGAGTACACTTTCTTTTGATAATTGCTATATTTTCCCCTTAATTTGCTTTGATGTTTCTTGAACGTTGATAATGTATTAATGTGGTGATGGCAGTGCACTTAGCAAATTAGTCTCTAAAAACTGTTTTTCAGTCAATCAAGTTGGTCCAAACATTACCCTTGATGGTTGAATAATCTAAAGTGACATGTTAATACTCGTTCTTTTAAATACATTTTTTCTTTTTTATTTTCTACCATTTTTCCTT